TTTCACTGAAGGACACCATCCACGGAAAGTATGACGGAACCGTGGAGGCCGATGGCGACTCCTTGGTGGTGGATGGCCAGACTCTTACTTGGACAGTAGATACCCTTTGTACCCCTTTTTGCATTTTCTTTTGCTTTATATATATATATATAAATATTATGTTGCATGAAACAGGAAGCTTGAGTTTCACTTCTGGTGGGCAGTGGCCAAGTGAGGAAGATTGCTTTGTCCCATACCCGTGACCCAGCAGAGATCCCTTTCGGTGAGCATGGTGCCGAGTACGTGTGTCTCGACATAATTGTAAGCATCATCAAATCAGAGAAACACACCTGCATACTCTGTAGTGTGATCTCATGTGATTTCTTTGATATATTGAATCGATTCGATTACAGTAGATTCGATGCCTGCTTGATAAAGAACCTATGCTGAAGACAGGTGCGAATCCACTGGTGTCTTCCTCACCACGGAGAAGGTTAAGGGTCACTTGAAGGCCGGATGTGTACTTCAGCAGTGTTCAAGGGTTTGGGGTTAGGACAAGCTTGATTTTTATACACTGCCCAACCTTGCTCCAGGCCGGTGCCAAGAAGGTGATCTTCTCAGCTCCTGCCAAGGATGACTCCCACACCATTGTCATGGGTGTGAATGAGGGCACTTACGACCCATCCATGGAGGCCGTCTCTTGCGCCTCCTGCACCACCAACGGCCTTGCCCCGGCAGTGCGTGTCCTGCAGGAGAAGTGGGGCATCAAGCGTGGATTGATGACGACTTGCCATGCCATGACTGCCTCCCAGCCTACCGTGGATGGCACCTCCAAGAAGGACTGGCGTGGTGGCCGTGCTGGCCCAGGCAGTTGTGAAGGGCATCGTGTTAATATGCATATAACATTGTATAACTGTTTTAGTTTCCTGTTTTAGTTTCATATAACTGCGTTGTATTTGGATGTTTTACTGTTTTCTTCATTTTTCTTCAGGGTTCATTGTCGGCGAGGCAACATCATTCCTAGCAGCACCGGTGCTGCGAAGGCCGTCGCCAAGGTGATCCCAGAGGTCAAGGGCAAGCTCACTGGCATGGCCCTCCGTGTCCCAACCATTGATGTCTCCGTGGTGGATCTCACTGTGGAGTTGGAGAAGGAGACCACTTACGAGGA